GCCAAAATGTATCCCCTCCTCCTTCCTTTTTATAAGCCATTTGAAATCTTTTCTGCCTCACTAGCTGTGACACACAAAGAGAGCCCATTTATTTTAAAGCAACCAAACTTAATCAATCACTATCACTTAGGGATATATAGGGGGGAAATGACACGCTACACTGCTGCGCTATGTAGGACTCTGTCTGCTTGTCTCTCTGTGTTTGTGTGTGTGCATGTGCATTTCAGTTTTGGAGGGTAGTCACAGGGCTGGGGCCACCAGGTGGCACTTGGAGGCAGCTGCCAAGGCACAAGTGGCCTAGTGCAAGGAAATGGTCCCAATGCTTGCCTGTTCCTCAATTGGCCAACCCAATTGCTGTGTCTGTAATTGGCTTTAACAATCCTTAATTCTGAATTTTAGATGGTTATAATCCACCTTGTGGCCTGCTGGCAAGAAATTTAATAACAGCAGCAACAGCAGCAGCAACAAGAAGCCCTACTCAGCCCTACAATGACATTAATCATGTATATGAATTTCAGTGGGTCTACTCTGAGTAGGACTAGCATTGACTACAAACCATAGTCTAATCTCCATGTAAGATCTGTGCAAGCAACTGTACTCAATAACTGCTCAGTTCACCTGGAGGAGGCCCCTATCCTCTGTCTCTGGCAACTTGGGTTCTTTCCCTACAGCTCAACCACATTAATGTGAGCAGAAAAAAGGGTGTGGTCCCACCATGATACATCTTGCCATGTTTAAAAAAAACCCTCTCCTGCCTGCCTTACATCTTAAAAATACCTGATGCACATTTCTTCAAGTTCAGAACTGAGGAATACAGTGGTACCTCGGGTTAAGAACTTAATTCGTTCTGGAGGTCTGTTCTTAACCTGAAACTGTTCTTAACCTGAGGTACCACTTTAGCTAATGGGGCCTCCCGCTGCCGCCGCACGATTTCTGTTCTCATCCTGAAGCAAAGTTCTTAACTCAAGGTACTATGTTAGCAGAGTCTGTAACCTGAAGCGTCTGTTAGCAGAGTCTGTAACCTGAAGCGTCTGTAACCTGAGGTACCTCTGTACAGTGGTATCTCGTGTTACATACGCTTCAGGTTACAGACTCCGCTAAGCCAGATATAGTGCTTCAGGTTAAGAACTTTGCTTCAGGATGAGAACAGAAATCATGCTCCGACGGCACGGCAGCAGCAGGAGGCCCCATTAGCTAAAGTGGTGCTTCAGGTTAAGAACAGTTTCAGGTTAAGTATGGACCTCCGGAACGAATTAAGTACTTAACCCGAGGTACCACTGTATTGCGCAGTTAAGCAACAGCAGAACTTAGACCATTTCCCTCCCACTCACAGTTTTACACGTCCCTTTTGAAGCACAGGTAAAATGATGGCTTACTGTGCTCCTGTCTGTTGAACAGGGCTTCCCATAGGTTCTGGGAGCACTGATAAAGTCTCCCCTCCCCCCTAACCGCTGCCATGTGGTTATAGTTAATTTAGAACCCAACCAGGTGTATGAGTAGCTCCAATTATTTCCCTCCAAGTCCCCCAAAAGAAACACCTTGCATTTGTCAACAGCAAATTTCATGGCTGAATTGTTCTCTGTGCATAATTTACATGAGAAGTTAGCACTCGCCATGAATTGAACAACACACCTATTTGGGGCTTTTTATGAATGCATTTGTCATTGGGTAATTGTTTGACTGATAGTTTATGCAAGCAAATTCCAGCCCGCGGACGCCTTCCTTCCAAACAGTGTGTGTGTGTGCACCAGCAATTCGCTATTCATCCTCCATTATTTATAGCACAGGATTGGTCGGCAGTGGGGAGAATTCACCAGGTATCATTTTTCCTTCCGGATGGGCAACGAAGCAAATAATAGCAGCTTTTGAATGGTAAATAGCAAAACAAAACAGGAAAAAGTGCCCTTGCTCATAACTCTTTGTGAATAAGGGGGATCGTGTGAAATAACGGAGCTCGCCAGACATTCCTGTGAACAAAACCCCAGTGTAAGCATTGTGAAGGGCGGTAAAACAATTTGGGATGGTAATTCATGTGGCGAGAATCAGCTGATGGCCTTATTTGCATAAGAATGGGGAAATCACTATATTTCAAGCTCCTTGGTAGGTGCTTCTTGCTTCTAATAATTTTGGGCCCCAAGACAATGGCAGACAATAATTTGCACTGAAGTGGAGGAAAGTCAGACTCATAGCAATGGGTGGCTGGGAGGCAGTGCTATGATGGCTCAGGACATCTACCGGTAATTACTGGCCAGCTCAGGGGAGGAAACTCATGTTTATCTGCTCTGAGCAGCAGACTTCATATCTCCCTGACCTCGTGGGAGGAACTACTGCACTTTTTCCTCTTACGGTGCTTCACCAAATCCTATGGAAATTTTACAGATGAAGAGAGGGCAGGTTGCAAAATATCCCCTGAAAAATAACCACCCAAATATATATTTTTTAAAGTTCTTGTTTATGCCTGTGGAACCACAACTGTTTCCCTTTTCTGGGCTGTTCTTTTAGAACCAACTTGGTCCTAGCCAGTCAGGGATCATGTTGAGAGTATGCGGCTAACCTCATGGCACCACAGAGGGTCTATGTGTCAGCTTCAATAAGAGCAAGCAAAACCAATGCATTTGTCGACACCTAGAAAGAGAGCAGGGAAGAAAGACATCAGGACAGCTTCCTATTTTAGCGTGCTGAGATGGGCTGATTTGTTTCACATATTACAGTACCAAAGTGAGTATGAGGTGTGGCATATTCAGGAGAACACCAAATCCTCTACTTACTTTTTAGCTGGCAAGACTACACCTTGGTGCCAGTTACAGAACCTGGGTGGCTTAAGGGAGATTTACAGAATCCTGACCCTCCAGGTGCATAACTCCCTCTCTAGATTTGTAAAACCAGCCCTGTTATGAGTGTTTTTTAGATTGGTGGTAAATACCTTCTGATTCCATCAAACCATTGACGTTATATTGCACACCTGCTTGTTGTTTTGTTTTAATGGCTGTTTTAATGTCCTCTGCATCGGCAATATGGTTATTTTAATGCTGTGAGCCACTTTGGGGAAGCTTTTGAGGACCACAACACAGCAGGATTGATTGATGTGCTTACCACATGCACTGGCCCATTCTTGGACAACTTGCACCAGGCGTGCTATTTGCAGGCATTGCTAAAGTTAAATGCAAAGGAGTCAGCCTTGGCAGGGTATGTAGGCAGGGTGAAACACTTACTTCTTGTACTTTTAGCTCATGAGTTGTCTATGTTGTGGGTGAGCCAGTAGTAAAAGATTCTGAACCAAAGTTGGATTCAGCACCACGTGTTGACCCATTGAACCCAATAGCCGTAGTTAACTTTGGTTGATTAATTTCAGTAGATCTACTCTGAGCAAAACTTAGTTGGCTACAGCCCAATTTACTTGCTTTGCAACTGTGAACTGACAATTGAACTGAGATGCCAGTACGCTATATGAGGATTATGATATGATATAGGAGGGAGCTTCCTGGTCATGTGGCCAGCATGACTAAGCCACTTCTGGCGAACCAGAGCAGCGCACGGAAACGCTGTTTACCTTCCCGCCGGAGTGGTACCTATTTATCTACTTGCACTTTGACGTGCTTTCAAACTGCTAGGTTGGCAGGAGCAGGGACCGAACAACGGGAGCTCACCCCGTCGCGGGGATTCGAACCGCTGACCTTCTGATCTGCAAGTCCTAGGCTCTGTGGTTTAACCCACAGCGCCACCCGCATCCTAGAGTGTAAACCTAGGCAGCTGTTAAAAGGGGGTGGGGGTGATCTGGAAGAATTAGAAGCAATTGTATAAGCACAGAGGGAAATAGGCTCATGAGTTTCAGTATAAAGGTTTTAAATTAAAGATTAAACCAAAGCAACTGGCAATGTACTAAAAGAGTGCCAATCATTTACTGCATCTTTAAATGGATGAATAAAATGATATCTGCAGATACTTAGAAACGAATCCTTAGCTAGGTAGCACTGGAGGTTAAAGAAGAATCAAGGGCAAATGTGTCATTTAGGATCCATTAGGGACAGCTAGGGAAGTCCATGCATGCAAATAAGTGCTCTAGCAAAATTGGCTGGTAATACCTCATGGGCAGGAAACATTGCTTAGCTGCTCAGTTGACCAATGGCTGGTGGAAACTCATTCCTGTGGTCACTCATGTGGAGGCAATGGGCTCCATGGTTTTTATCCTTCATAAAGTATTGCAATTTGCTGCATCTTAAAATTCTGCTGCCAACAAGTTCAATGAACCCCTCACAGTGTGTGGCAGGATGATTCTTTTAAAACTCTACCCTCAAATTTCTTGGAATGTAAATTCAGAAAGTCCATTCGAGTCATCAGGTTTGGAACGGGGTGCTATGAAGGGCATTCTAACTCAACCCCCCAAATAAACCATGAGGGTTTGTTTTGTTTTGAAGAAGGACAGTGAGTCTAGGTAAGACCAGGGGCAGCTTGCCAGCTGGGGTGCTGCACTGCTGTGCTATTTTCTCTGCAGGAGAGTTGCAGTTCCTTCTTGGGAGGGAAAAGCAGTGGGGAGGTTGGTGTGGCATTAACTGCGCCACCAGAGCCAACCCAGCACTTCTACTTGTACGTTTAGATACCTCTTCCTCCTGTTGTAAACAAAATCTGCCCTTCTTCCCTTATGGGGTATACAAGAGCCAGTATAGAGTCCTTAAGTGGGTTCCGTATCGGTAGGAGAAAATAACAGAGGCCAACCAGAGAATATTGAGAAGCAAAGCAGCTAGTAAGCCTGACCTTTATTAAAGCTGTTGCAACAGGGTGCTCCCTTCACACGCAGGAGGACAGAGGAGAACCCAGAACGGAGGTGTGCCTGCCCTTATATAGACATTTTAAAATACCTGCCCTGGAGCTCAAGACCACCCCATCATACATACATCACAGAAGGGGTGTAACCCAAGACCACCCCCCACAAACATCATACCTACATCACAAAAAAGGTGGCCTACAACAGAAATTTGAATGTTGTTGTTTCTCCTGTCTGCCAGGTTATCTGATAATGCCTTCTCTGATTGCCTTTCCTGGTAGTCTGCCCATTCCTTTGAAATGGTGATTACCCAATTCCTGAGACAATAGGAAGGTTCCCTCCCTCCCTCCTTGCAGAGAAAACATTTGGTCAGTTTGGGAGTCAAAATGGTTTCAGGTCGGTCTTCCTGTGCTGCTCCAGACATGTGGTCAACACATCAATGTGTGTGCTTGGCTGGTACACCTATGAACATTTATTATATATATATGTGTGTGTGTGTATGTATATGACCTTAGGGATGTGGGTGGCGCTGTGGGTTAAACCACAGAGCCTAGGACTTGCCGATCAGAAGGTTGGTGGTTCGAATCCCCGCAACGGGGTGAGCTCCCGTTGCTCGGTCCCTGCTCCTGCCAACCTAGCAGTTCGAAAGCACGTCAAAGTGCAAGTAGATAAATAGGTACCGCTCCAGCAGGAAGGTAAATGGCATTTTCGTGCACTGCTCTGGTTTGCCAGAAGCGGCTTACTCATGCTGGCCACATGACCCGGAAGCTGTACGCCAGCTCCCTCGGCCAATAAAGTGAGATGAGAGCCACAACCCCAGAGTCGGCCACAACTGGACCTAATGGTGAGGGGTCCCTTTACCTTTATAAGACCTTAATTTTTTTATTACACTCCCAATCTGCAGCAAGGAGAACCAGTCAACAGAATATCCCTACCCTGGAGCTTCCTGGTCTACTGTCCGGTGTTGAGATGCTCCTAGCGAAGAAGATGGCATGTGGAAGAAACCAGCCTTGTGACTGAAGTCTGCTTCCTTTTTCTCGGAGAACTATCTAGGGAGCACCGGGTTGGCAAAGGCTGACTTGGAGCAGAGATGTAATTAAAATTCACCAACCTCTCTTGACCTGGCAAAGGAAATAAACATTCTTCCCAGGTGGTTTAGCTGTGAAATATCTGCTGACACACATCCCTGAAGTTTATAGAGATTCCCCTAAATGCCAAGGACAGGAGTTGGCAATTAATTCACAGATAACGGGCTGACGTTTATCTCCTTGGTAAATTAAAGAAAATTATGCATTTTCCTCTTGCAAGTCAAAGCGCTTTTATTAAACAGCGATGTGGGAAATGCTTGGCATTATCTTTGGAGGGAGGGAAGATGCCTTGCAAAAAGCAAAAAGCAAAAAACCCAAAAACCAAAAACAACCTCTCTAACAAAGCGTGTTGCAAAGAAAATGAAGTTGACCATTAGCACAGGTTGTAGTGGGGCTTTGTGGTTTCAGAAGCAATTTAGTTGCTAACAGCGAAGCCCACAGAGTGGGCAGGGAGAGCTACACAGAGTCTGCAGAGCTTATCAGACAGAACTTAAGTTTGCACAACAGGAAGAATTCCACCAGAGCGGCTGGATCAAAGGCTGAAGTTAAAAGGGGGAAATCGTCTTCAGAAGAAGGAAGAGAAGGAAAGAGAAGCCACTCTGAAGTGTGCGGGGGCAGGGGGGACATAGGAAGGCAGCAATCACAGGAAAGCGGGTGGGTTTGTAGGGGCAGGCTTTGAAACAAAAAAGAAGAGAGTGATTGTGATGAACTGTGATGCAGTGATGTGCACATTATTATTATTATTATTATTTATTAATTATCACCTTCCACACACATTTCTCGTGGCAGCTAAAAAACCCCCAGTTAACAACACAGAAAGTGGCACCTGATAATTTTTTAAAAACAAAAAAATTATGAAGTTGAAACCCTTTGCGGAGAGACCTATTCAAATGCTTATTTTTTTATTAATTGTTTATTAAATCCATATACTTCTGGATCTGAAGCTTAAACATCACAATGTTGTAAAGATTAGAAGTACTTTTTAAAAAAACTTTACTATAGGAATGATAGTAAATTAATTATAAATAATTATATCCAAAGAATAGATAAATCCATTTCTGCCTAGCTTGTTCATCTTGTTTGAAATGTTGTCTCTCACCCCCACAACTTTGCAGTCCAGTCTATTGGCTACTAGAGAATGCTTCTTTCTAATCTAATTTCAGCAGTGAGAGGGGCATGGGGACTCAAAGTGACTCACAGCCAGTGCCGGATTTATGTATAAACTAAACAAGCTATTGCTTAGGGCCCCACTCTCTTGCCTCCCCCCAATTCACTATTAATATACTTCTTAATTGTATTTCAGTTCAACAATTACTTTGATAAAATACATACAGTATTTTGTTATGTGCAAATGACTTTAGATACTTATTAGGTCCATACAGCATAAATTACCATATAGCATATATTAAACACAAAAAACAGCGACAATTTGTTGTTGACAAAGGACAGCTGGACATATAAAGGGCCCCATTACCTTCAGTAGCTTAGGGCCTCATCAAACCTAAACTGGGCCCTGCTCACAGCCAATATAAAAGTAAACCAAAATAAAAGCTAAGTACATTGCTATACATAGGTGGACTAACACATCCTACCCACCAAAAGAGGCCACAGTATCTAAAACTCTCCAAGTCAAAGGCACAAAACCTGGCTGAAAAGAAACATTTTTGCCTGGAGCCTAAAAGTAGTCAGTGATAGCACTCAGTATGCCACCCTGGGGAGAACATTTAATTTAAGATTGGGGGGAATCAGAAATGGATAGAACTAAAATTGACAGATTCATCCATCACTCAACAAGGAGCTTGCTTCAGCAAAAGCTGGCTCTCCCCAAACAATGTAGAGCCCTCATTTCATAGGGAAGCACTTCTCAAGCTTCGTCCCTTCACACAGTCACTCAAACTCATGTAGGGAGGCAGAGCTAGCACACTCTTCCCCACATACCCTAAACTGCAGATATGCCCTTAGTTAGCAGAGCACTGATTATGAAATTCCTTAGGTTCCTCAAAAGCTAATTTCCCTTTCTAAACAATACTTTGCATGCTATTACCCACAATACTTTGCATTCCACAGCCATCATTTTTCTTCTTCTTCTTTTTTTGCAGGAAATTGATTCTGATTAGATCGGAACTCATGCTTGGGTCTGTCATTCAAGTGCATTTAAGGAATTTTAAGCAGGCAAAATAAAGTATCAAGTGTCCATCTTAAAATCTGAGTGATGGTGCTTTGGGTTATCATTAAGTATAATTCAGGAAATGCCAAATTTAGAACAAATACCACCAGATTCATTTTCTCCTCATCTCTCAATATGACAGCACCTATGTCAAGAATGTCTACAGAGGGTTATATAAATAAGGTCATTCTCCTCCCCCTTTCAAACATTTTGCAGGCATCTCTGCTGGAGATATGTCTATTCCTTTGGACTCAGAAGCCTAAATATAGAACTGGAGATTCAAATGAGTCATCATGAAATTCAAAATTTGTGCCCCCCGCCCAAAAGTTATGGAAATGTAGTTGGGCAAATTATTCCCAAGGACCTGTTTATTAAACAAAATTTGTGTTTTGTTTGTTAACTGTGCTTAAAGTGTTGTTTTTCCTCTAGCTCGTCTCAGACAATGATCGTTTCGGATATTCAGTTCCATATAACTCACTTGCCTTTATCAATAAACTATGCTAACATGAGCTGGGGAAAATATGTGGAGGGAGTCTAGCCCCACCAATTGCCATGATGGTCTGGACATTCAATGGATGTGGGAAGAAAATCCACATGTATATGGATGGATCCAGGTAGAGCACTTCTACAAAAGGAGGGATTCCAACTGGAAGACCTTTCTCAGTATACAAATTCTGGCCTAGGGCAGAAGTTGGAAACCTTTGGCCCTCCAGAGGTCACTAGACTATAAATCCCATCAACCTTGACCATTGACCATGTGTCAGGAATGAGCCAGCTCCAAGCGAAAGTTTGCAGCCAATGGCAGAAAGCAGCCAGAAACAGAGAGGCTTAGATATTAGTCAGACAGGGGAGAGCCGACAGCTGCAGAATTTGGCTCTTCCTGACCTTGACACGCAAGCTGATAAGGCAGTAATTGAAGGCAGGCTAGAACACAGCCAAAGCTTGCCGGAAGCACAAACATGAGCAAATAGACTCAGAGACAACTCAGAACAGGAAGAGGTTGGAGCTGATCCAATAAGTCCACACAGTCGGCGAATGGGAGGGTTGTTAGACAGGAAGCAAAACAAGAGACGTAAGTGTTTGGATACTGCCAGGGAGACAAAATCCATCATGACTCCACGTCGTCTCCGGACGTCCATCGATCTCCCGTAGACACGTAGTATCAGCAATTAGCGACACGAGCTCCAGAAATAGCTTGCCACATTCCAGAGCTGATGCACGCTCTATCAGCAGATAATGCACAGTGAAAGATGCACTCAGGAGAGCATTATTTACAAGTTTATTCAGCGTTGATCAGAACAAAGAAAACATGACTGCCAGCTTCAGTGTCTCAGACAGAGAGAGAGAAACGAAAGCATAGACACAACAGAAACATCCTGTGAACAGGAAATACGCAGGCTGTGACACAAACATCCTGCTCCCTTTTAAGGTGGAACGGAAATATCCTAACAGTAAGGTGAGAAAGTTCAATATATTCTGTAGACACGGGAAGGACTCTTCAGAAGGGTCATCTTGAGTAATGATGCCAGAGGCTTTGTTAGAGCTGTCTGGAGCTATCTGTTTTTGCAATAAATCCTCATTTTTAATTACCTACGCTTACTGTGTAAGCAGGAAACCTGGACCCTGACACCATGATGGCTGGAACTGATGGGAGTTGTATTTCAGCAACATCAGGCTGGCCAAAGGTTCCTCACCCCTGGCCTAGGGGAAATGGGAATGTCTTAGAGAGAGTTTCAGGGGGCAGATAAAGAAGACTGCTGGATTGGATTTGGCCTACAGGCCACAGATATCTCAAACCAGTTGTAAAGTTTATAAATATGTCGTGCACACAAAGCATACCCCACAAGAGTCCTGGGGAAAAACGGGAATTCTGTTTTTTCTCATGCAAGAGCATGGCAACCATTTTGGGTGTCATGATCTTGCGTGATTTCACACTGAGATCTTGCCCTGAAAAAGTGCTTCCCCCCCTGAATAAAGTGCTTGGGGGGCCCACGGTCACCCCAAAATGTGCATTTATGGGCACTGTGTAAACACAGCCCAGAAAATGTGTGTAAAGCTAGGTATCTAGCAGGCCACTGTGGGAGACTGAATGCTTATGTCTATCCAAAACTAACAGTTATGGTTGCACTAACAGCATTAACACAACAAAATGTACTGCCATTAACTCCTCCAGTGGGGGAATGTGCTGTTTTTGCCTCCTTGCGCAGTTTCCCTTAAAGGAGAGGCTCTCCCTTTGGTTAATTACAATGTTTACAGAATCTTAACATGCAAAACCATAGACATATGACGTTGCTTCAGGGTAAGTCTCCCTATAGTACACAGCATTTCAAGTCACTGCAGAAGGGAAACAGTGAGCCCAGCTTCAGAAGAGAGTTCTCTCCAGTCCCCCTGTGCAGCATTCAAACATTACAGGACTCAAAACTCCATCAGAACTCGAGCTGAGCCTTGGCTAGACAATTCCATGTGTATACATTTAACAGCCATTAGGTAGAAAGTGGCTTTGTGATATACTGACAGACTGGATTTCTGTTGGAGAATGAAGGCCTTCGGCCGCAATGCATCAAAACAAAGCAGATTGTTTACCCTAGGCTAGGAGGAACAGTACGAACCCTCCATTTTCTCCTCCTTTGTAAGATACTTGCTCTCCCAGAGGAGGAAGGCCTGGCAGATGTCTCCAGTCCTCAACCCCCACCACAGACTTTGGTCACAGAAAGAGGACCAAAGCTAATTAGCGAGGGTCAAATCCCATCACCGACCTACCATATGGGATTGCTCTTAGGAATGTTGAACTAATAATGCCTGTGAACACACTAAAAGCTCTGCATTGGATTATGACCTCTGTTTCTCAGCCCAGTCTTCCTGAAAACTTATCCAATTCCTGATTCAGTGTGATGCTTGGGATTACTTTGGGACATGTGTTGGCCACGATTGTTGGGGAAAGGCCGTGGCTTAGTAGTAGAGCATGCAGAGGATCCCAGGTTCAATCCCTGATGTCTCTAGATAGGACTGGGAGAGAGCACTGCCTGAAATCCTGGAAATCTTCCACCAGTCACTGCAGGAGAATACTGAGACTTATAGCCGAGATCTGTATAAGGCAGCTACCTATGCTCCTGTATCCTCTTGGCCCTTCCCAATTCTGTTTCACACCCCAGTGGAAAACCCCCAGTTCTTCAGCTGCATATACTAAGTTGTCCCTAAGTGCGTTCAGAAGAGTGCTTAAGCAGATTGTCAGCCAGTTCTGCAAGGCAGATCAAAAGTCCGTTTTGTGGGAGCCAGTTATGAATTGTCGCAAAAAGAAGGGGATTTGTATCACATACAAAAAGGATCCAAATATGCCTAAATATCGCACATGGCAATTTATATGTGCAGATTCACATTCTGAAATCACTACCATAGTTTTAAACAAAATGCAATAGCTCTTACCACAGTGTGGAAGACAACCTGAGTGCTTGCTGAGTCTGCATGTTACTAACTGCTGATGGACAACCTCCGGGCTCTTCCTATCCCTTTTGATGGCACCTTATCTTTAAACCGAAGGAAAGCAGAGCAATACATTTGGCACCAGCTTGGGCTGCAGGAGTTGCCAGAAGGAGGCGTACAAGGTGCCATCCAACTGCCTTGGGGACTCCAGATCTGTGCAGGGTTCATTTCCCTCTACAGCATGTGTAGAAACTGCCTTCTTGTCCATTGAACCTACTATTGGTCTCTTCTTCTCAATCCACCGGAGCCTATCTTCGCATGCGGGGGAAGTCCCTAACTCACTGAGGGTTTGAAACCCATTGGCTACCCTCACCTGATTTAGCTGGACAGTCAAAGCCATTTCCTGGAGTGGCCACTGTCGCATGGTGACAGCTTCTAGGAGCCATAGATGAGAGTTGAGTGCAGGATAGGGACCAGAAAAGCAAGAAACTGAAACGGACAGTTTGACCCATTCCTAGTTTTGGAAGCGGATGCATGTCTCTGTTTTGCATATTCATAGGTGTTCCCCTTTAAAATGTGTGTTGCTGCTCACTTAAAAGATCCATTGCTTTTTCCTCTTTGTACAGATCAGCAGAGAGGCGTCTTGTTTCATTTAAAGTCAGAATCAAAGCGGCAGCCTCTCTTTGGTGCTTGGTGGCTTTTTGAAAAAGGAACGGGGGAGGGTGGGTGGGATCCACACAAGGCCAAGGTTACCTTATCATGCTCTGTAGGGATGATCAAAGAAGGAAAGCTCTGGTGTGTTGCCTCTTCAGCAATTTTCTATCCTGCTGTCTGGAGGGAAGAAGGCCAGAATGGAACGGCATGCCACCTTGGGAGATGACAAAGCAAAGGACCTTAATCTTATTAAGGGGACACTTGCTAGAAAATTCTGCAGCTGAGGCTCAGTCACGACAAATTCTCCTCTGACTGCATGTATCTCTTTCAAGGTCCCCCCCACTCACCCACCAAGTAATCCCTGGAATGTGACCTGCAGAGTAATAGGGAAGAAGAGGAAGTTGGTGGATGCTAGTAAAAGCTCGGCGCATTTGCATCAGTTCATTGTTTGGTCTCTCTGCCAAAGCTGGGCTTGAGGATTTCTTGAAATAAAGTGCTCAGTTGGTATTGTAGCTCCTCAATCTCCCTGGTTTACCTCCTGCCACTAAAAGCTGCTGAGAAGAAAAAGTTTCAAAAGCATCTCCAGAAGAAACTTGGGAGTTTGGTAGAGGAAGGAGAAGATGCTGTTTTGGAATGTAGCCGGCCATGAGGTTTTGGTCATAAACACCAGCACTGGTCCACCTCTAAGAGGCACTCCTAACTAGAATGTCCACTTCGAGTTGTCCCAAAAGAGGAAGAGCACCACCAAAAATGACAGCATATATTTGCATAATGAAACTTATTTGCATTATATGTTTGAATGGGAATTTAGAAATACTTGCTGCTGTATAAATGGGAATGCAATACAAACATCTCCTCCACTTGCACACGATCAGCTCACATGCAACCGCGCATATGTGTGGCACTGGGAAATAATTAAATAACTAAATTCATACCAAGAGATGGAGAGTCCTCTGGTTCACGAGGAGACCCTGCCTGGAGCCTGGAGCCCTGCTTGCTTTTCCTTTTTAAGGTTCTTTAATTTTAAACCAGACAGGGACTGGGCATCCCTTCAAAAAGAGGGCCTCTTGAATAGAGGACATCTTCAAATAAAAGAGTGTCCTCTGTAATTTAGGACTCATGGCCATCTTACTCATGATCGGGCATTATCAGGATTTCTGATAGTGATGAGGCTTCCAACCACACTCAGCTGAATGTCTGTAGTAGACCTTCATGATCAAGAAGCCAAGGTCAGCATAAGCAGGGATCTCCATTGAAGACCACATGCATTCACCAAAACGTATGAACATAGCTCCTAACAGTACAGTGGTACCTTGGTTCCCAAACGGCTTAGTTGTCAAACAAATCGGCTCCCAAATGCCGAAAACCTGGAAGTAAGTGTTCTGGTTTGCGAATGTTTTCCAGAAGCCGAATGTCCGACTCGGCTGTGATGACCTGGGACTCAAGCTCAGACTCGGAACCAGAGGAGTCTCAGTCTGCACCGGATTCTTTGCCTCAGGCATCATCTGAACCAAGTCTGGGGCCTGATCCTGAAGAGTCGCTGTCTGCGCAGGTTCCCCTGCAACAAATACCAGATGGGCCAAGTCAGGGGCCTGAGCCTGCCCTGGCGCCAGATGCGGGGATTACCTCGTTGCCTTCAGCTGGGGCATCATTTACAGCTGCTCCACTACTGGCTTGGTCAGGGGAGGCTGAGGCGGCCCCTGGGTCTAGTAACCCATCGATGTCTCCCGAGCTGCAGAGACTAAGGTCTGAGAGAAGCAGAGACCTGAGTACTTGCAGGAGGAGTGCTCGCCTTCGGGCAAAACAGGGAGGTGAGTCACTGGGGGATCAGGACCGGACGCTACCCCGACAAAGATAAAAGGCTGTCGGACCCCGCCCCAGGCTGTGGGAGCAACATTGCTGTATGCTAGATCCTGCCTGAGATCCTGTACCTGTCCTTGCCTGGTATCCTGCCTTGGCCCTGTCAGACTGACTCCCAGCAGAACCTTCAGATTCTGGACTGGTCCTGGACCGTGTTTCACGGGTTACCCCCAGGCCCAGCACAGCGGCTTCCACAGCTTCCAATTGAGTGCAGGAAGCTCCTGCAGCCAATTGGAAGCTTTGCCTTGGTTTTCGAACCGTTTTGGGGGTCGAATGGACTCCTGGAATGGATTAAATTCGAAAACCAAGCTTCCACTGTGAACCAATATGGTGTAGTGAATAGAATGTAGGACTTCAACCAGGAAATCCCACCTCTGCTTGAAAGATAACTGGGTGACCTTGGAGACTTTTTCAGTATAGCTTATCTTACAGAGGTGGTTGTCAGGATAAAATAGGACAACTCCTTTTACACTGCTTTCATTTCCTACCTGGAATAGTGAGATATAATTATAAAATAATGCATACAGATATCTTCAGTACAGTGGTAGCCAATGTGGTAGCCTCTAGATGTTGTTGGACTCCCATCAGCCCCAGCCAGCACTGCAAATAGTAAAGGGTGATGGGAGTTGTAGTCCAACAACATCTGGAAGGCAGTACATTGGCTGTCCCAATGACTGTATCAACATGTATGTATGTATATTTGCTGGGGCAAGAAAGACACACTGCAATGAAAGTTCACTCAGAGGGTGGCCTCCACAATGCTTTATCAGAAGCTACATTAGAATTAATGAACATGACTAAGTTAGGTTCATTAGTTTCAATGGGTCTACTCTTGAGTAAAACTTAGTTGAACCCAGAGAGATTTCATTTTGGAAAATCATTTTTTGTTTCAATTTTTTTTAATAGCTCTCTCTCTCTATAATACTGCACACATTTTATCTCGTTTAAATGTTGGCTCCTTGTTTTATTGGCATGTTCCTTTTTTCTCATTTCTCTCCCTGCCCCCCTTCCAACCGATCTCGCCTTTTGCCATAACCATGTATGCACATTAATCTGATTACTGATTGAACTGTCACTGGCAAGATAAACTTGTTTACCTCCTTGCACCTGTGTTGTAATTAATGGATTTATGTACAAGAGATAGCAAAAGCTGGGAGCTACTAGTCCCCAAATTCCAAAGAAGACTTGCCGTGTTCTAGAAGGCTTCCTCATTGTTTCACCTCCATTTATTACAGGTTTAAGCATCGTGTTGAAAATGCTCCTTTGTCCTGTTTCAATAGGCAGCAGCTGCTCAAGCTAATGTCAGTCTGAAACCGCCAACATGTCCCATAAAAGAAGTTGGTGGAATAGTCATAAATCATCCTCCGAACCAAGCTAACAAAGTAATCATTGTGTGACAGAAATATAGGGGGGGAAATATTATTAATAAAAAGATGGAGTCCCTCCCCCGGCAATCTTCCCACAAACATTTGCATCCCAGCCGAAGGAATATGAAGACATTTGAAGTAGGTGTGTATAGAATTGGAAGAAAATCCATTTGGGAAGGGGTGGGATACCTCAGACCTAGCAGCCAAATACAGTATATAAGATTAGGCACCGACTTGAAGCAGCTGCGGAGGGGGCAGATTGCACACTTTCAAATTAGAGATAGAAAACAAAAGGCATGTTTCTCACAGAATATGCATACTGACTGGAGAACGTGCACAGTGCCCGGAGAACGTACAAAATGAAACCAAGATATGCATGCTGTATATATCGCCTGGCAAATGTGGGCGGTTTCCTCTTCATGGACAGATTATGTGCACATTGTCTGTGAGGCCTGGTGGTAAATGTGCACAATGAATGGCTCTATTTATTTAATAATAACTTGTTGCTATATTGCTATACAGTCATACCTAGGGTTACAGATGCTTCAAGTTGCATTTTTGGGGGGTTATGGACCGCCGAAACCTGGAAGTACCGGAACGGGTTACTTCTGGGTTTTGGCAGTTGTGCAGGCGCAGAAACGCCGAATTGCAACCCGCACGTGCGCAGACATGCAGCTGCGGGTTGCGAACATGCATCCCGCATGGATTACGTTTGCAACCCGAGCACCCACTGTACACATTAACAGCTGAACTTACATTACTCTCTCTCTCAAACACATGCACAGGTGCACACACATTAATAATAATGATATTTATTTATTTATTTATTTATTTATACCCTGCTCATCTGGCTGGGTTTTCCCAGCCACTTTGGGTGGCTTCCAACAGAATATTAAAAACACAATAAAACATCAGACATTAGAAACTTCCCTGTACAGGGATGACTTCAGTTGTCTTCTAAAAGTTGAATAGGTATTTATCTCCTTGACATCTGATGGGAGGGAGTTCCACAGGGCAGGCGCCACTACAGAGAAGGCCCTTTGCCTGGTTTCCTGTAATCTCACTTCTTGCAGTGAGGGAACTGCCAGAAGGCCCTTGGAGCTGGACCTCAGTATACACACCCACCCTCTAGTCACCTGTTCATAAATTGTTTTAATTTATTTTTAATTAATTTTAATAGTGTACCTTGCATTGGAACCAGAGGAGCCAGCTTGGGGGTTTATTGGGGATGGGGCTGATATCATGTGTGCAAAGTCAGGACAACAAGAGGAGCCAGGGCAGAGCCAAACACAGCAGCAGAGCAGCTTCAACTCTTCTTCCCCTCCGTAGCAGCAGCAGGAGGAGGAGGAGGAGGAGGAGGAGAGGAAGAGAAGGAGCCGGCCACTGAAGCCATGCTGTGATTGGCTCCATGCTCACCCTCCTCCTTCACTTGACTTTTTTGGACATTGTGGGACCCCGACCCCCTCTCAAAAAATATAGCAGTCCAGTCAGGACCCCCAACTGCTATGTGGGTGACTCAGCCAGAAGGATGAGGTATAAATAATGACATTATTATTATTATTATTTCCGTGCCAATGCCTGTTTGTAAAAAAAAGAGAGAGGGGAGAGTTAAATGCAAAATCAGCCTAGCTCTCAACCATTCAGGCATTCTTCTCCAAACCTTCTGTTTTCTAATTGTGTTCTCTGGAATTGCTTATTAATTGGAGGATGATGCAATTTTGCAGTAGTGCAGAGGCTTCCTTGAGTTCCTTCAAAAGTCGATTTTATGGGGGAAAGAATTACTTAAGCTGATAGTCTTTCAGGGGAAGGGCAGAAGTGTGTATGTGCGTGTGGAAGCCAGCCGCAGTAATTATTGCAAGCAGCAGAATCATGTCTTTACCTTCTGAAGAATTCTGATTAATGGGAAGAAGAGACAGGGTGGCATCAGAATAATGACACGGTCCACACGGAGGCCACAGATATTCATTGAGCCGCAGTAGCAAAACAGTCTAATCTTTCTGTTTATAGAGAGGCTCTAATGAAGTCGTGGGGGGCTCTCGGGCTATTTTTGTGTTTTGCTTCATTTTGTTTGCCTAGCGGGTTATCTGCTCGGCTTGATTAAGAGCTGGGACAAGCTTGGTTTACATATATTTCTATGCTATTATAGTCTGTCATTTATATAGCACTGTAATGCCACTGACTTAACGTGCCCATAAATCCTATTGAAGTCAATAACGTTGAGCAATCTACATGGTCCAATCCTAAAGAGGCGTCAGACTGGTGATTTGTGAAACCTGCAAGCGGAATTCCATTTTCCAAGTCCATGGAATATTCAGCCAGCCTTTATGGATTGCTTGAATGGGTCACTTTGCCTTCCAGCTCTTAGATAGCGTCAGGTTTTTCACTCAGGTGCCCGGAGGGGTAAGCCAGCTGTGGATGATGTCTAAGTGATCTACTGATTTGACATGTGTTCTATATTTGTTTCATAGAATTGTAGAGTTGGAAGGGAACCTGAGTTTCATCAAGTCCACCCCCTGCCACCTCAACAAGATCATCCATGTCAGGTAGCCATCCAGTCCCTGCTTAAAAATCTCCAGTGAAGAAGAGTCCACAACCTCCTGATGTCATGGGCTAGGAGTCAGCTTTACCTGCTGAACGGCAGCCTGAAGGGCGAGAAGGCGGAGTGACTCCACCTGCAGCTGATCAGTCTTCACGGACACAGAGGAGAAGGCATGGATGAGAACCAGCTGGCTCCGGCCTTCTTAAACAGAGCTCTCAGCAGCAGTCAGATGCTGGAAATAATGCCGGTGGTTCCCAGCCATACCTTGCTGCTTCTTGCTCTCCATCTGGACCCTTGGCTCTCTGATCATCTGGATTCTCTGACCTCTGGACTTCATATGTGGATTCTGCTCTCAGGCAAGTGTGCTAAAGCCCAGATCCCCCTTAATAAGCCTGCTTCAGTTCAGGATTCAGACTTAGGCACCATCCCTCATTTTGATTCCCAGTGCTTCCCACTGTCCACATCATAGTAAGTCTATGGCATTCTTCCTGGAATACCTCAAGCTGTATTGTGAGTCGCACTTCTTGAGTGTGAGATTACAGATCTTGATTTCCCCCTCTCACGTGTCCCCCTGCTCAAAAATAGGGTTGACCCTACCAGGAAGCAGTTGTGAGGCATTAGAGGACAAAGGTGTGTGTGTGTGTGTGGCATGAGTCCTGGCAATGTCCCCTAACTGGCATGCTGACATACAATGATGTTCTCCGTTGCCAATATTGAACAAAGATTTAACACACAGTCTATTCAGCTTCTGAATGGCTTAGCAGTGAATTCTTTATCCCAGGGAACTGTAGTTCCATGAGGAGAACCGGCATCTCCTAACAGTCTTAACAACACTCTTAACAAATTACATTTGCATACCCTCCAACATTTCTTTGATGAAGATAGGGACATCCTATGATGATGATGCCTCTCCCATTGACGCACACTCTGGGCGGCTAACAAAATATATAAAAACATAAAAACATTTTAAAACTTCCTTATACAGGGCTGCCTTCAGATATCTTCTAAAGGTCGTGTAGTTACATTTCTCCTTGGCTTAAAGGCAAAGGTAAAGGGACCCCTGACCATTAGGTCCAGTCGTGACTGACTCTGGGGTTGCAGCGCTCATCTCGCTTTATTGGCCAAGGGAGCCGGCGTACAGCTTCCAGGTCATGTGGCCAGCATGACTAAGCCGCTTCTGGTGAACCAGAGCAGCGCACGGAAACGCCGTTTACCTTCCCGCCGGAGCGGTACCTATTGATCTACTTGCACTTTAACGGGCTTTCGAACTACTAGGTTGGCAGGAGCAGGGACTGAGCAACGGGAGCTCACCACGTCGCAGGGATTCAAACCACCGACCACCTGATTGGCAAGTCCTAGGCTCTGTGGTTTAACCCACAGCACCACCCACGTCCCTCTCCTTGGCTTGGGGGGGGGGTCACATAACTCGGTATCCTCCAACATTTCTCCAATGAAAATAGGGATGTCCTAAGGAAGAGTGGGACAATCCAGGATTAAATCAAAAACTTGCGGTGGCTTCTGTAAATCCAGGTCAATCCCTGGAAAATAAGGACACTTGGAGGGTCTGTACTTTCCATGGTTCTTTGGCAACACCATGACACTTCAAAGTAGAATGATACTGCTTTAAATGCATATGGGGCCATAGCTGAAGCTGGTCCTCCTCAAAAGTATGATGTTAGCTCAGGAAAAAAACAACATGGAAAAGAAGCACTGTAGGAAAGTTACTGAAATAAGAATTCTCCAGATGTAAACTTTAACATGCAACAAGTCTGTTTCCATTTAAATGCATAACGGGTACCAGTTCTTTGATAACTGAGACATGACTACTTTTCTTTGGGAGGGGAGATCAAGGATCAGGATTAAACAGCAAAACTGTCATCTTCACAAGACCATGAATTCTAACACTTTCTGTTAAATTTTTAAAAAACCCCCAAAAACAACAACTCCAGGATTCTGTAGCTCAGCCTGTCTCCCATTTGCAATATTCTTTCCAATCCATCACAAAGTCAACATTTAATTCTCACTCGTTGCAACTCCAAAATGATGGAAGTGGCATGCTTGCCTTCATTAGGAACCACAACGGCAGCCAGTCAAAGGGCAGCTGGGAGGCGACTCAGTCATGCACCACCAAAGCTCTTCAGAAAGCAAATACCAGCCATGCTAAATTAACAGCTTCTTGTATCTACGCGATGGATGTGCTCCTTTAATCAAATGGCAACTTCCTCCCCCCCCCCACTTAGAGTTGAGGCCTATCAAAGAAGCTTTACGAACTGAGGAGAAGGATAAGATGCTCCCCTGCAGGAATGCCCTTCCAGATGAAAAGAATGTGTTAACTAGGGTTGCCAGATTTCAGAAAGTGAAAATCTGGACAAGAAAGTTGTTGGAAAACCCCCACTTAGAACAGGGGTTGCCATAAGTTCCGGTTTTCCCGGATGCCATTTTCGGAATCAATATCTCGGCGATGTCCATAGTTTTCTGAATTTATGGCAGCCCTGTGTTAACACTGGGGAAGCATGAAAGAAGAATCAATAAAGCAGAATGCTGTGCAGATGGTCCAGTATAGATCCACAATTGATGCATTATTATTGCATCAATGACATGTTGCAGAAAACACCTTCTGCAAACCCAAACATACCATTCTGGAGGGCCCCTAAATCTGCAGTACTTGGTGGAGAAGTGGGAATCTGAAGCTGGTTCGCTCCCCTTATCCTGTGCCCTGCCAGACTTGAACAGAAAGAATGAAAATGAAGGCCAAGGAAGACTCTACAACATTCCATTTGTTCCTGAGTTGTTAATTCCCTCCTATTTCTTTTAGAAAAATATTCTTATCTTTATATATACCTACATAACAGCATAACAAACCATCAGCTAAAATGACAATCATTGGCGAATATAACTTCATATGTATATTTCATATTTATTCAACATTTCTCCTCCCATTGAAAAGAATGGAAGAGAAAGAGGAGATTGAGAATTAAGATGCAGACCTGATCCCCCCCCCCTTGTTTTTGAAGGTGTGCCAGGGGACTTGGATAGGTCTGGAGCCTTTTTCATTTCACTTAAAACAACAACAACAACAAAATACTGCCTTTAACGACCCACCCCTGCGAAAACATTCTTAAGCAATTGAACATGGGACACAGGTGTGGATAATAAACCTGCAAAATGAGCATCTCAGTGTCTTAAAATACATGCCTTAAATAAGGAACAGTTGCATAGAAACTAAAATATCAGAAAAAGAATTGCAAATGTATTTATAAAAGTTTTTCTCCCTGCTCCTCTCTCTTTGTGGCATCTGTTGAACAAAAAGAAGTTTGGTTGGGATGGTGGGGGGGAGAACATGGATTGCTGATTAGTTAATTCAAAGTGGCTTGCTAATTATAGTTTGTTGCAGGTTTTGTATAACCTTACATAGGAAGCTGCCTTACTCTGAGTGAGAATATTGGTCAGTCTAGCTCCATGCTGTCTATACAGTGGTACCTCTGGTTATGAACGCTTCAGGTTATGAGCTCTGTTAACCTGGAAGTAGCTGCTCCTGGTTGTGAAAGGGAGACCCCATTAGTGAAAGCACACGATAAGAATGGTTTCAGCTTAAGAATGGATCTCTGGAACAAATTAAGTTCATAACCAGAGGTACCACTGTATTGACTTTGAGTGGCACTCCAGGACTGCAGACAGGAGACATTCCCAGCCCTATCTGGAGATTCCAGGATTTGAACCTGGGACCTTGTGCACACAAAGCAGATACCCCACTACTGAACTACGGCCCTTTTCATAAATGAATCCTCAACTACAACAATAGAACTGAAGAGCCTGGGGAGAGGGGGAGTCATATTGCTTCACTTTACAGCTTCAATAAAAAAAATGGCTTGTGATAGCACAGTTTATTCCAGTCATGGTTTCTTCAATAAACCGCATGCCATCTCACAGAAAAGCAAGCTATGGTTTGTTTCTCCAGTGCTTGGATTCCCCCCCCCCGATGCTCTTGCAAGTCTTGGCAAGCATCTGGGATGGGGTTGTGAAACAAACCATGGCTAAGAAAGGTTGTTGGGTTCAGACATAACACCAAACCATAGTTAGTACAAGTCATGGTTCATAAGCCAGCAAGAAGCCATGGCTTCACTTTCTTGCCACTTGCCAGAAAACAGACCTTGGTCAGTCCACTGGGTTCAGTTCTGATATTCAAGCGAACCAGATACAGTGGAACCTTGGTTCTCAAACAGTTTAGTTGATGAACAAATCGGCTCCCGAACACTGAAAACCTGGAAGTAAGTGTTCTGGTTTTTGAATGTTTTTCGGAAGCTGAACGTCCAACGGGGCTTGTGCTTTAATGCAGGAAGCTCTTGCAGCCAATTGGAAGCCGCACCTTGGTTTTCAAACATTTCTGGAGTCGAACGGACTTCCGGAACAAATTAAGTTCGAGAACCAAGGTACCACTGTATATGCTAACCAAACTATGGTCTAATGTTATATGTGAAGTAGACCAGGGGGAATCCAGCCTTCTCCTGTCTGCATAGCCTAAGTCTGCTACTGCTATCTATGTATCTTTACTTGTGGTAAAAAAAAAATGAGGTGCCAGTAATTGTATATTGATAGAAGTGCATGGGTGTCAGAACATGTGGATGCTATGGGTAAAAAACAGAGGGGAGATGGCGGACCCAACATGACGACGAAGGTAGTTACCAAGTAATTTCGTTTACCCTCATCAAAGTTTTACGTGGTTTTAAGCGGTTTTATCCTCCTTTGTTTTTATCCGAGAGTTTTAATGATCTGCTGGCTGTGCTGGCTGTCTTTTAATCTCGCTCCACTTGTGTTATTTTGTTTTATCTGGGTTGTTCCGACCCCCCCGGACTCGCCGCCACGGCTGCCGCCGCCTCCCTAACTGGGAGAGATAAGTGAAAAGTTTCCTGGGCATAAATCCTCTGCCCGGTCAACCAGCTATTTTCTTTTAGCTGTCAGCTTACTGCATATTGCGAAGTGAAGTTTGCCCGACTGCTGGAACCGGGCTGTTTCAAAAATCCTAGGAACAAGGAAGAGGGGAAGGAAGAGGCTTGAACTGGAGTAATATTACGGCACCACTCTCCTGGAAGTGGTAGTATTCCTGTGAGGAAGACTAAAGGACTTAAGGAGCTCCCCAGCACAGTGCTCACGACGGTTCCCCTGCAAAATTGATTTATGGGCCATGGAAAACGCCCAAGAGACCCTGACGAGGCACTATCCTCTCCGAGGCCTAAGCAATCAAGGAAGGGTTTACCTAAAGGTGGGAGAGGCCCCGAGGAATGTATCTACTCAATAGCAATTCAAAATCGTTTCGATCCTCTAACGGCCCTTGAAACAACATCAAAAGATGAGGCCCCTGAGACGCTACAAATTGGAAAAGCCAATGGTAACACAAATGGGGATGGTCCCTATCCGAAGGAGGTGTTGGTAGCCGAATCTGCGGACTGCACAGGTTGTGAGCAACTCCATCTAATAATTAGAACTCTAAACTGTATATTTAAGAGAATTGATGGCCTATCCTCTCAGCTGCATAGCCTTCAGCAAAAACTGGATGACCAGCCGGTACAGACAGCCCAAGATGGGGCAGTAGATGTTCCATTGTGCCGGCAGAAAGCGCCACCAAACACTGATCGTATGAAGAACTGCAAATATAATCTCAACCCCTCACTGAATCGCCAATCCCTGACTCTACATCCAAGGAAGATTTCCCTAACCTTCCGGGAAAGGGACCCAAGTTGGGCAACGCTACATGGGACTAAAGAGCACCTCAGATGGCTTCTAAAACTTGAGACATCACAAATAGATCTTTGTGCTGTGCTTCCCTTAATCCAACAGAACAGATATCAGAGAATGATGCTGGCTTTCCACTCTGCAAAAATCCCCTCTCTTATTATTAAGCAAAAAGTGTTTTTGAATAGTCTTGGCATTTTTCCAACGAGAGTCTTCATGGATTCCATAATTAGACCCCTCCTATCGGAGGGATTAATCAAGGAGACGGCACAACCCTCCCATCCTGAACCACAAAAGAGGGCTGAGCTGCACACCCCATGTCTGGGCCAGTTCCAAAATGCCTCCACTCCTACAACTAAACACTACGATTGTGCCAGTAACTCTCTGACACCCCAGGAGGAAAGAGAGCTTATCGCCTCCTTTGGAGAGTTACCAGCGATGGAACAACAAGAAATTACAAATAGGCTAGACTTACTTAAACTTCAGCTCCTAAGTATTGCCTGTAATGGAGTTTCTACGAATAATACCCACTCTAATTTAGCGGTGCCATACCCCATGGAGGTGGAAACAGCAATTCCCCAATACCCAGCATATAAGGTGCCTTCTGCATTGGATGGGAAGGTCTCACTGCTGAAGGCAGACTCTTCTCCTCCCCTTCACGTTGGTAACTCATCCCTGCTGCTAATAGACTTATCTGTTCCCTCCGTGATTAACCGATCAAAGAATGGAACTCAGGATAACACCCCCCTGGATAAATTGTTGTCCCTTCATTCCTCCATGCCGGACTTGGAATCAACATACATCGAAGACCATCCACGACCTGAGACGGCAGTGGCCACTCCAAGTCAGGCTTCTTCAGAGCACTCTTGTCCACCAAAAAACCAACAATTACGTGAAGAAGACATTACAGTGTCGAGAGTCATCACAGAGTGGATTGAAGACCCAGCAGGACATATAAATCAAATGATCACAAGTGTATCGGTTAGATCCCCAAAGAGGACGGCTCCAGCGGACTTGGCAGGAGCCTCTTCAGAGCCTAGTTGGGCCCGACAGCTAAAAACGCCAAATATTATCCCTACCCACCAGGATGCTAACTCTCTTCTGCCCCCCAAAAATTCTGGCCCTCGTGAGTCGATCATGCCACAACCGGCTCGCACTAGAGCAAAAGACTCCCCACAACCGGTGCGCACCAGAGCAAAAGACTCACCACACCAGGACGACAACTTTCAGCAAAGGAAAATAACGGACTTCTTTAAGGGAGCGTCCTGGTCGCATAAGAGCCCCCCACAAGAATTTAAATGACGGTTAGCCGGACAATCCAGAAAACCACCAATATCGATCCTCTGTTGGAACATAGCTGGCTGGCGTAGGGAAAAATGTGACCCAGAATTCCAGTCGTATATCAACTCGTTTCATATCATTCTATTGCAAGAAACTTGGGAGGAGGGTGAAATTGTCATAAACGGATTCGACCTATTATCCCTTCCAGCTTATCCCTCCCAGAAAGGAGGACGGCCGAAAGGTGGTCTAGTAATTGGTATCTCACTGAAGCTGCATTTCAAATTTTCACTAGTTTTGACTGCTCCCCCCTTATGCTTTATCCGGGTTGATGTCGGGGGGGGAAAGTATCACTGCTAATCTCTAATGTCTACCTCCCGCCAGGGGGTTCGTCCCTTGAACTGCATGATAGATGGGAAATATTAGAAGATCATTTAGTATCATGCCGAGTCAAATATGCCAATAGCCAATTCTTAATTGGTGGTGACTTCAACGCACGTATAGCAGCAAATTGGGCTGATTTAACTAAAGCAAAATGGTGGACTGCTCCAAGCCTTGACAATTATGATTTGAGACATGCCTTAGGGAGAGCCTCAAAAGACTCTAAAGTAAACGAGGCTGGAGTACTTCTTTACCAGATGGCTATTCGCTTAAACTTAGAACCCCTGAATGGCTGCTGCCCTCCTGATATACCGGGGGAGTATACCCACCTAGGCATAAAATCAAACAGTGTACTAGATTACCTTTTAGCCTCGAGTGACCTGATTTCGAAAGCTCTCTCTTTAAGATTGGCAATATTCACTATAGTGATCACCTTCCACTTGCTGCTACGTTTGACCTAGACTGGCACGGGGACGAGCACGGTCATCTAACTCAATTAGATACTAATGCAGAAAACCCGGTAGAGGGTATTAATACGGCATTACGAGTGAAGGGTATAAAGTGGTCTGTAACGCAGGCTCAAAAATATTCTGAATTTTTTCAGCAGGAGATCATACAAACCTATTCAGCCCTTGGCATAACTTCATATGATCACGATCAAACTATTAATCTATTTGCCAATCTGTTGAATGACCTCACGTCATTCTTTTCTGTCCCAACCCACCAGGCAAATTGGGCCCACCCCAAGACAGGTGCACCGTGGTTTAACCGTAATTGCAAACAAGCCAAACAACACCTTTGTGCTATTTATAATGATTACAAATCCTCAGGGGCGATTACGCTTCCCAAGGAGTACTACCAGGCAAAATCTGCTTACAAATATGTGCAGAAAAAGGCCAAACAGGAATGGCAATTGAACCGCTGGCAAGCACTTATAGCTGCCTCAAGTACCCGTAATTCCCGAAAATTCTGGCTGTTGGTTAACAGAAAATCTAAAAGATACCCCTTAACAGTTATTCCTGCCCCAATTTGGGAATCCTTTCTAAGGAATTATTTTGCCTTACCAGACCTTAATATTAATACAATCGATGGAGTCTATGAGCAGCTCCCTCTTTGGCCACCCACTGACCCGGAAGAAATCCACGGACTTATTTCTAATCTTAAAATCGGAAAAGCCCCGGTCCTGATCTAGTCCCGGCAGAAGCTATAAAACTTCATGCTGACTGGTGGGCGAAAATCTTGGCCGCTACCTTTGATGCCGTAAACAACAGTGGGAAGGTACCAAGAATATGGAAGGATGCGATTATTGTTCCAATTCATAAAAGGCTCGACAGATGACCCGGGAAATTACAGGAATATCAGTTTATTGTCATTAATT